TTCCTAGAGATGGGCAGAAGTGAACACTAAATCTCCTGTTGTAGGTCATAGGTGAGTGGTTTGGAAGTGCGGTTCCTATCTGTTGACGATAAAGCTGGAGGTATTGTATGAGTTTCTTGCAATTCTTAATCATATTTCATTGTAATTGTAATAGGGTAGAATCTAAGATTGGTGGTGAAATTTTCAAACACATGGACTGACCTTTTTTTGAGGGAGAGGAGGGGTCCTGCTATGTTGCCCAGGCTGGAGTGCAGGACTGCAGTGGCTATTCACAGGTGCAATCACAGCTCACTGCAGCCTCAAACTCCTGGGCTCAAGCAATTCTCCCACCTGAGTCTTCTAAGTAGCTGGCGTTACAGGCGTGCAGCACCATGCCCAGGTTGGCCGCTTATTAATTCATAAGGAGATAACCTTTGGGTCCAAGAGGGGGTTGATCTTATACACATTAAAGCTAATGGTAATATTTCAGGCCACAGGAGTTTGAGGAGCTTTGTTAATTTTAGTTTTACAATTCCATTAGTTCTATTTTTCCTAAGGAATGTGGATGATGAGGACAGTAAAGTTTTTGGGTAAAAAGCCAACTTTACAGAGTTCCTTAATGACAATATCAGTAAAATGAGTGTCTTTGTCATTATTAGAGAGATGAGTGGGAATTCCCAGGTTGGAAAACAAAATCAAGCAAAAATGTTTGCCACGGTTAGAGCCATAGCACTCCAGCAAGGAAGCTGTTTATAATCCATTGCAGAAGGCACTTGTCTAAAGTCCATTTGGAGGCACATAGGGCCCTCAAGACCCTGGTTCTTGTCCATATGTCATCTTTACAGCTACGAGGATCACGTTGTTGGCAGCAGGACGTGTTTTAAAAACATCCTTCGGAATACCTCTAGAATTACCCCACCAATATTGGTTTAATACTGTTGCCAATTTATCCCTGCTATTATGAGTAATGTCATAAAGCATTTTTGCAAAACTCCACTATAAAGTATTTGGCATTATCAGTCAGCCATTCTGAAAGCAAAAACATAATCTCTATGTGCCCAACGTTAGCTACTCTCCCAGCAAAACAGGTCCCAGGCAGGATCGTCACAAGAGATTTGTAAATAATAGAGACAGAGAAATAACAGAGACAGAGACAAAGTGCAGTTTAAAGTGATGGGGGAGTCAGGGGTCCTCCAGCATTCCTGTGAGCTTGTGAGGCACCGAGTGAAATCCCACATCAGTATTTATTGTTACAGCAAGCAGTTGTCCCTGATTAAAGAATATGTGTACAGTTCATTCGTTGAGGTTTCAAGGCTCCCCAAAGGTTTCAAGGGATCCTTACCTAATTCTGTCTACAAGAATAGATGGTTACAAAATTTTTCTAAGATAAACATGTTAAGCCCTAAGTTAGAAA